TTCGGGACTAACATGTGGTCCAATTTCATATCAATAATTTGTTTGCCAGTATGGGTCTTTATCAGTGAGAGGTAACCGGAAGACTCAGAGAAAACCAACGAGGTTGCACAGGTAACCTTACTTACGTGCATGTGGGGTATCGAAACCATGGCAACTGGAAGTGTTTGACCATCCAACCGCCCTGGGGTCATCAGAGGACGAATCCTATCCATATTCAGCGTTGCATGACCTTACCGTTTAGAGTTACCCCCCCCACCCCTCGCCCATTTGTCATAAATCTTGTGACTCGATTGCTGCTTAAAGAAATGGGGTTTAATATCTGGAATAATGAAGACCAGTTTACACCTTACAGTGTGGTATAAGAGGCTACAGTCTACTCTTATTTCGAATTTCAACTGTCAAGGGTTCTTTTACGTGTCTGCCTATTTGTACACGGGATCTCGATTTTTTGTCCCATCCAAACAGCTAGATAACCAGGCCCTGCGTCCTACACCACTAGACCCTGTCCTTGCCAGGTCCTGCGGCCTACACCACTAGACACTGTCCTTGCCAGGCCCTGCGTCCTACAACACTAGGCCCCGTCCTTGCCAGGCCCTGCGTCCTACAACACTAGGCCCTGTCCTTGCCAGGCCCTGCGTCCTACACCGATGTTCTAACAGATTCTCTTTCGAATTTACTATGAAGTATTGAAGTCATTGGAGGACAAATTCGATACTCGGCATTCCATATTCCATATTAATGTTTTGCTTTCGGATCAGAAGCTGTCAAGACATGGCTGTTATGTGGACGTATTTCTTATAATAATCCAGATAATTAAAATAAAATCCAAGCCCTGGCCCAATTCAAGTGAAATCAGGTTTACCGGTTCACTGTTCTGTCCGGACAGCAGCGTTTTTTGTCCCACCCGAATGACTAGACACTGTTCCCTTCCATAAAAATCAAACCCGTGGCCTACTGATAAGTAAACCAAGGCAAAATATTTCGTACCAGTGTTATCTAAACTAGAAAACCACAGTTATATAATGAAAATACCAAGCCTGATCTTCACCTTTTTGGCTGACAAGTAGATTGGGTTGTATGAAAATCCCACGTCTAGTCGTGAACACAGTGGCAAGCGTGTAAAAAGATTGTTGACAGTTAGCAAAAAAACATATTGTAATGTTTATTTCTATGGTTTTATGGACAATGAGGTAGGAGAATTTTACCCAGACAGTGGCCTTTCCATGAACCTCTTTCTCGATTTCCAACTGTCAATGGGTTTTTTACGTGCACACCAATATGTATACATATGGATGTTGATTTTTCATTATATATAAATGATTTAAAAACAATATTTAATTGTTTATTAACTAATAAATAATATTTATAATTTATGAGATGAGTATAAGAATTATAAAAAAATATTTTTAAAACAGACAGGAGCTTGAATCACGCCTCCTATAGGCCCACCATAAGCAACAAGAACTATTATAGCAAGAACTGTCAGCTCTTTATCTAAATCTTATATTGTAAGGTTATCGACACCCTGTCCGTATCGATGTCTACTATAAAATAAATGTGGGGATGGGAGAGTGGGATAGCCAAATAGCTGGACTTGTCAGGATCTCCGAGCTGGCGTCTTATATTCTGTTGTTTTCCTCCTTCAATGTCTAACGACTAAGACTAATAATACGTTCAATATGCCCGTTCCTTTAATTCAAGGTTATGTCATGACATGAATAACAATAAAATACAGTTAGTAAATCATTCTATAATATATTAAATATGGGAGATAACGTTCACAAACCCTTAACGTCCTTGACGTCGCACATTGGTTAACCCGGTGATAATGGCGGCATATTCTGCCGATTAATGATGACATTTGTAACATTAACATGTATGACCAAGTTCCATCACGGCCACGATTCTCACCTTTCTAATTAGTTAAAAGGTTGTGAATATACCTTAGTTGTTAAAAAGTTTCGGTTTTATCTCTTGGTTACATATTAATACAACGAACAGTTATCTGCCCTTAGGACATTTGTTGTTTATTGCACGATATTATGGACAGGTTGATTTAATTAAGTTATTTACATGTGAATGAGTAATATATAGAAAATAGGTAAAAACACTAAATAATAAAAAGTTCTTGTATATCTAAAAGTCACTTTAAAACACAGTTTTAACATCGCTGTCGTGAGAAGAGAAGAGAGGGCTGGTCATCTTCTCACTTTGTCATAATTAAAACAAGTTAAAATAGGAGATCCAGCTGTTTGATGCCATCGCAGCGGATTGAAAAAAAAGCCTGTGGGAAAAAGAATCCACTGTTTAATGTGGAAAAGCGAAGTTCTCGCAGTAAAAACCACATAGCTGGACTCTGGTTATAAAACATAATTATTATAACAACCAAGATGAAATACTAGTGTTAACAATGATCAAATAGAAATATATGTAACAATCTGAGAAGTCGGTGCTAAGATGGACGTGACACAAGATGGAGGCTAACAAGTAAGTAGAACTTGTAAGTTTTATATCAAATATTACAATAGGCCTATATAAAAGACCGGATTCTATATATTACAATATATTGCATATTTAAGAAAGAAAAATTAACGTTAGAAAATCTCCCAAGTCGGATAAAACAGAAGATTACAGGTGGCCTTGACTTTTGATCATACCCCATTTATATCATCTGTAGAAGATTCCGAATATTGACACGTTTTTAATTTATCATATCTTTGTAAAATACTCAACAGAATATTTTTATACTGACACGCCTTCCAGAGATTCAATTTTTACAATATTGTAGTTTGTAAAGGATTCCTCAATATCTCAAATGTCAGACATTGAATACAATGTAAATAAATATTTTTGTAAATTTGAAGCCAAGATTGTGGAATATACATATTTGGTATGTTTATCTACAAAAGTAGAGGTATATTTTAAATTATTTCAATTTTTTAAAGAAATCTACAACTTCTTCTAGTTCTCTTTGTTTAGCTTGTTTATGTGCACATCTATTCTCCATTACTTCAGCTGACACTTTCCATTTTTCATTCGTTTATCACAGGAAGGACATTTTTTACCTCCTGAAAAAAAAACCAAACATAATCTTATATTATGTGTTACTATTTATTTTAAATGTAGATTAAGTGATATAACATGAAATGGGGTTTAACGTCCTACTTTTCTGCTTCTACAGGACTAATTAAGATCGACATACGTCATACAGTGTACTATGAGGGAAAGTTTACTCAGGCACAGCGACATTCCCATCTAGTCTTCCACGACATTCCAACTGTCTGTCAAGGGTTCTATTACGTGCACGACAATGTGTACAATATGGAGCCTTGCGTTTCTGACTCAGTCAAATAACAGAATACACTTTTAATTTTCAGTCAACTATCTAAAGTGAGATCCGTGGTTTGAATATCGAGCAAATTTAAAAATTAAACAAAACGAATAGAAGACACAAGTAACACTTAATAAACATATCATTTAAGCAGGTGTAAAGTTTTAGTTTTCTTCACCAACTGAGGTAATGAAGACGGTCGCCATGACTTCCAGCAGTATTATAAATATTTACCTATAAATGAAGGTGTTTTCATGTACGTATCTAAACAACCATTATGAAACAGATGACCACAATAAACTCTCTCTATCTGATTTTTACGACCTTTCAATTGATTCTGAAATAAAATATTTTTCACACATTATCTAATTGTTCTGACTTAAAGTTTTAGATTTAATAGTTTTTTTTTTTCAACTAGTTTATAATAAACGGCTGCATCCTAGATTAAACCATTATTAATATTATACAGTCTTTGTCAAGTTTGTTGTTAGGGAATTGATATTCTTTGGTTATTAGACAAAATATAAAAACCATTACCTCAGGATCTTCAGCTAAAACATGTTTTTTACACAGTGGACAGTTTTCTAGTGGATATCTCTTGACACAATCAAGTATCAAATAATCACAAACAACTTTTAATGACGGTTTATGTTCGAATACAGCAGCTCTGAAAAACATAAACAAAACATACGTTTTCTTTTATAGATAATGGAGACAATATTTACAAGACGCTAAAAACATATCAAGGTATTGTTTATACAATTTATAACATTATTCCAATTTTTTACATATATTTTGTAGTGTTTTTACACATAACTATCAATGTAACTGTATTTATTGTATTTTAAGGTTAAATTATTAGAAATTCTAATTGTTTAATAGTACCAGTTGGTCAAATGGATTAAATCCTATTTCTATATCATCCACAAAGGATAACTCTATTTTGATTTATCTCCCCTTAAATTTGTCTGCCTTATCCATCACTCAATAAAAACAATTTACAAATATTTCTAAGTAATATAGTAAATCTCCCCTTAAACCAGAATTTAAAACTTGCCTGCCGTATCACTTCATTCAAAAAAAAATATTTCTAAATAAAATCGTAAATAACGAGTCTATGTCAAGATAGACAGAATCAAGTTCCATGTGATTACTGGTAAACAACAACAAATATAAACAAAGAAATCTGGAGAGATATATTCTAGAAATCAAATAGGCTTTAATCATTTAACTCGGAGTCTGACATGAGAAAAGTGGATGTCAATTTATAAAATGAAAAATAAATCAATTTTTCTTACCTTCTATAGTAAATATATTCTTTCAACATCATTTCAAATATTATTCTATTCCTCTCCAATCATATCTCTTGGTTAATATAATTCATTGTGTTGTTATTTAAAACAATATTGGGTTAAAGTTGACTTTGATGACCACCAAAACATCACATCAGTTGATTTTCTATTCCTGTTATTCAACCTGGTAATACTACTTTCAATTTGTTTATAAATAGATTTAACGTGACCTATTGACTTGTGACGTAATAACCAATGACGTTGTAAAAACTTGTAATGACGTGTTACTAGTTTTAATGGCTGACAGGTAGCCAGTCTGTGTACAGAATGTTGTTGATTGACAGAAAATGGTTTATAACAAAATTTAAAAATTTACATCAAAATAAAACATCTTCATCATTTAGTTCTAACAGAATTATTAACAAGTAAAATAAAGATGTTGTATGATTATTTATATTCTATTTATCAAGGCCTATTTAACATAAATATGATACACATTTTGATTTACGCCACCGACGAGTCCAGTCTAATAAACTACCATAATCACGACACTTGATATTTATATTCTAATTATCAAGGCCTAATTCACTTAAATATGATTCACATTCTTTTTTACCTAACACACGAGCATAGTCTAATAAACTATAACCATGACGACTCTTAACATCTAACATGGCACCAGCAGAGTAGAGTAATTGTATCTTATCTAACGACTGTATGTCAGACGATACACAATAAAATACTGGTGTCACAGTAAAATCATTCCTATCATTTTTATCAAGTCCTTGTTCCAATAAATATTTTACACAGTCTATTGTACCATACAGACACGCATAGTGTAATAAACTATCACCATAACGACCCTTAACATGTAACATGGCACCAGCAGAGAAGAGTAATTGTATCTTATCTAACGGCTGTTTGTCAGACAATACACAATAAAATACTGGTGTCTGATTATAATCACCGACAGGAATATTTAAATCGATATTTTGATGTATTAAAGTTTTGACATCATCAAGTGTACCATATTCACAAGTTCTACGTATTGATTCCCAGTCCATTTTATTGTTGTCGGTTGTTTTATTATAGTTAGTTGTTTTTACATCTTGTGTAACAAATGGTTGGTTTAATAATGGAGTTGTTGATGTGATGGTGGTGGCCATATTGTTTTGTATAGATGTCTGACTATATTTAACATCATCTGAAATTATATAATATTCATACTAGTTGATTACCTGTTCATATATATCGTTCTGATGGTGGTTAAAAACCCTGGCCATCTTTAAACTAGGTTATCTTTGTTGTCTGAACGTACAGGTGGGGTAATTTCGAGTAGGATATACACCTGAGTTATTTTAATTATATTTATAACCCTTGACCATGGTTTGTCACAACATGTGAAAGATATACAACCCTGGCTTAAAAACACTTCAACTAGAAAATTACTTGCCATTTCTTTAATTATTAATTAAAATGGCTAAAACGTAATGACATACCTGGAATTGTCATCCCTTTGCTTTCTTCATCAGTATCTGTAATAGAAACATATATATTAGTAAGTACAGAACAAAGATAGGTTGCCAGACAATGAAACAAACTCACACCAAGGGCGGATCCAGGGACCATGGACAGGAGGGGGCGCACGCGGCGAAGTCGTAGGAGCACCCCCTCCTAAGATAGATATATTAGTAAGTACAGAAGAACCGTACCATGTAAACAAAGATGGGTTGCCAGACAACGAAACATACGCACACCAAGGGCGGATCCAGCGACCATTGCGGAAAATTTCGAAAACTAGAAACCCGGAATACCATTTTTCCAGTGACCTGAGTGAGACAAGAATCTGTTTTAAAGTGCGTCCACTGGATCGACATAGTGGCGGGGGGGGGGGGGGGCGCAGCGTTTGCCCCACCCCTAAATTCACTCTTACTTGCCATTTCTTTAATTATTAATTAAAATTAAAATGGCTAAAACGTAATGACATACCTGGAATTGTCACCCCTTTGCTTTCTTCATCTATTAGTAAGTGATCTGTATCATCCGTATCTGTAATAGAAACATATATATTAGTAAGTGCTGAACCGTACTATTTAAACATAGATAGGCTGCCAGACAACGAAACAAAAGAGCGGATCCAGGGACCACAGGCAGGAGGGGGCGCACGGGAGGCGAATTCGCACGTTGGGGTGACGACAATATATATACGACCAGATTTGATAAAAGCCCAGAAGACAACCCCACTCTGACAAGACACAGAACAGATTGTAATCAAACCAAATGATTATAAATATAGGCTACCGTACCTATGTAACATGTATTAAACATACTTTAGTCGTTACAGCTTTCACAAGGTTCAACCATATCATATAGATATAGGCCTAATGTGTAACACCGACCATAACTCTAGTCTAAGTCTTGAAGTAATTAAATAGACTTCATCGTTTCACTAAATTGTGGACGACGGACGGATTGATAGACGAACGGTAATATGACCACATTTCCATGTACAAGATTATGTACAAGAAAGAAAAAAATTCTGCAACTGAGTCAACCTGTCTTCACAACATTCTTCTGCTAAATGAAATCTCTTGTTGACTGTCGTCTGCTGAATGACGTCACTTGACGACGGTCGTTTGCCAAAAGACGTAATTGAATTAGAACGTTAAAAACATTGACGCCATGTGCTATTTTTCAATAATTGACAAGTTATCGCTGATCAGATCAGCCATTTTTAAAAATGTATATTTTCAGTCTAGAAAAGCACTGCTTTCTTGATTTGTTATCATTCTGGGGTCATATACTTAATTGTATCTAAATAGAGGGCACAGACTGTCGGATCCCCCTTGGAGTTTCGAGACAGGACCAGTGCAATGTCCAAAAATAACCCAAAATCTTTGCTAGGTAAATTTCTTCGTTTAAATATGTGTTGGACCTAATAATGTGTTGGAAAAAACAACATAAATACCCAGTACTAATTATTTCATACACACACCATACGTGATTGTTTAAGATTATTTGAAGGCCAGGTCGACTTATTTCCCTGACAATTATTAAAATAAAATACAATTTAGCTTGATTTGTTTGATTGGTCATTTGTAAATATTCATCTTTCGAATCAGATTATACTATTTTTGAATATTGCTGTCATCATTATGCATAATGACTCCTACCGGTATAAAAAAAAATTATTTGAGCAATGTTAGTAGGCTAGAACCAGAACCGTATGATGTTGCTTAGCAACACAGTCGTATTGAATTTTTGGGAAATCAAGGCACAACACTGTTGAGAGATATTGAAAATTGTAGAAATTTATATAATAGATGAATAGCCTGGGTTTTGAGTTCAGGAAAAGTCACCGGTTAAATATGCTCATCCATTTAGACCATTCCTTTTTAGAATTAAGGTATAAAAGCTTCGTAGACAAACTGTAAAATATCAAGTTGTTGGAAAATTTTGTGATTTGATCTCTGACCCCTGCAGGACCATTTTGCTATAGAATAACAGACAAAAAGTTGAGAAATATTGATTCAAGAGAGATAACTACATATTGTAGGCCTATTGACGATAAATAATCCATGAAACTCTTTTGATTTGTGATAGGCTACTTAAAAATGTTTCTATTGTTTTATTTTACAGCGAATCTCATTCACTCAGTCTCTCTGCCAGAAGAAATTTATATTTATCAGATGTTGAAAGATGTTATAGATGATTTATTGTTGAAATGTTGAAAAATAATAAAACTTGAATATTTTGTGAGATTTCGAAATTTTGTTGACTTATGAGAAGAAAACATTGAAATTAATATGTTCCTATCGGAATAAACATGATTGCACGTAACCGTATTAACAAAATATCAAGATCAGTTGTCACCCTCAATCACAATCATAAGAGCAGGGGTCAATTAATTTCCAATGATTAAATAGAACCTTAACTTCTGTTGGTTTCAGAGCATAATGTGTTCTTCGTGTAGGCTATCAAGATCGTGACCTAACCTCTGATTTAAAACTTTCGGGAAATTCACATACTGATAAAAAAAAAATGGTTGCCAGAATTAAATAATGGTCACCAAAATAGCTGAAAAATGCAATGTTTTTTTCAATGATTCTTATGATTCTACAGGTCAATGTTTTTCGTCCTGAAGAAGAATAAATTATCCAAAACAAAGTTATTACATGCGTAATTAAAGCAACGAAAACTACATTTTTAAAAAAAAAAAAAAAAAGAAGAAATCAACTGATCTCTATACCCACTCTCCACGACAGGGCTGAGGTCACTAGAAGAAAACTTGGACCCATACATAAAATTAGGTAGATAGACCCTTACACTTTTACACCAAAAATACTTTAGTCCTAATGTTATATATACTGTAATACTATTTGATAATTATGCGAAATTGTATTAGACGAATATAAGTGCACCAAAGAATATGAGTTATAATTTGATAATTACATATGTTTTATTTCTATTCTCCATTGTCAGTATATTAGTTATGGTATGAGTTTATTTAAAACGCAAATTAAATTGGTTATGAAATATTGTGAAGAAAACAGAAGGGAAATCTGTGCTGATATGATACATGAATTGAACTATAGGTTAATAAACACATTTATCATACGTCATCTTAATGGCATGTGACCTGTTGACCAAATTTGGTAATGAGACCCTATTGGTATGCAAGGCATGAGGCATGACCAACCACATGATTAAAATTACGTAATATTTGGCAAATTGAATAATTAGTAGCGGAAATCTCGGCATAAACAAGTAACTGGATTTGGACGCTATGGCAGACAGCCATGTAGTTCTTGAAGGGAAAGGATGTAGCGTTTCTCTATCAGCAGACTCGTCGAGTTTGGCTGGATGGAGTTTGAGAGAATGACTTTATTATAAGGCTTGTAACTATGTAACCTATATGTAGCAGTTTTTAATATAAAATGTAGAACCGAAATATGGCATTTGTTGTTTCTGTTATTGATATCATTCAATGTCATACGAGTATCACATATATTTATATATGGTACTTGTCATATCGAAAAATGGTAACGTTTGGATGAATATTATTGGAGATATTTTAAAATAATAACCGCTACACTGTAATTTATACAGCCATCTTACGAGGGAGATTTTGTTCGGCCAGCGGCGTTTTCTTTTACTCTTTTTCGACGTCCAGCTGCCAAGGGTTCTTTTACGTGCACAACAAAATGTACACAGGCCCAGTTTTTCATCATCTCCGAACCACTAAACACTGTCCCCTGCAAAGCAATTTCGTTAAAATCCACCATTATTGTCTTTTTATGGTGTTCAGCCAATTTCTGACCCATCGGCCACGAAAGGGTTAATGATCTAACGAAGCCGTCACAATGCGAATTGTAACAGGGTTGTGTTTTGAGACTCTGTCAATTGTAAGTTGTTAATGAATGGCCTGGCCGTGTCTTTATTAGTTGGTGTTTTGAATGGGGTCTTCCCATATCGCCGACTCACCGAGTTTTGGAAAGTCGACCGCAGCACCCTCTGATTGGATTAAAACGGATTAAAAGCGTTAATGAGGCAGGGACCAGTCATTATTAATATAGTTCACTGAAATTGATTTTCACCACAGACCATTATTGACTTTTTTGCCGAAACAATTATTAAAATTCGTGAAAAGTTTGTTGACTCCCCCCCCCCCCTTACACTGACATTAATATCCCACCCCAGTGTAATTTCTCTGCTTTTGAGCCATTGAATGTTGATGATGTAATATCAGTGGTGTGTCGAATGAAGTGTAAGTCATGTGCTCTGGACCCAATTCCTACAAAACTACTAAAAGAGTGTCTGGATGAAATAGCACCAGCTTTGACGATTATTATAAATGATGTGCTCTCCTCTGGTATTTTCCGGATGATTGTAAGGAGGCCATTGTAAGACCTCTGATTAAAAAAACAAGTCTTGACCATAATGCACTCAAAAGTTATAGACCAGTGTCAAATATTTCATTTTTAGCAAAATTGCTTGAAAAGATCATTTTATCTCAAATAATAGATTATCTCAATCGAAACTCACTGGTCGGTAAATTCCAGTCTGCTTATCGAGAGGGGCATAGCACTGAAACCGCACTCCTTAGAGTGCATAACGATGTTATAGATATGAACAAGGCAGACTGAATTTATTAGAATTTTTGGACTATGTTGGACTGCGTGCAAAAATTTAAAATTGTGTTATGTTATGTATTATAAATTAAAAAAAAAATAAATGCTCCCAAAATTATCTGCTTAATGAGGTTTATCCTTCAGCTTGGGTCTATTGTTCTTGGCCACTCATTCCCATAACGTCGACCAAAATTTTTCCCCTTATAAAACTCGGTGAGTCGGCGATATGGGAATGAACCTTTTGAATAAGTATAGTTTTGTTTTTAAGCCAATATAAATTTGTATAAATGTTTTGGTGGTGGATTATATATTGCATGCATCTAGAATTGTATTGTTAGGATTATGGTGGAAATGTTTTAGTCTTTATGTGGGTTTAGTTCTCAATATTACTCGTATAATTGAATAGGAAAACTGATTGAAGTCTTTCAGTTTTGAAGACTGTCTTCTTCTGAAAAGGTTGTTTATCAGGTTATCTGTGATTGGTTGGTTATTCTTAAGTGTAGCTGGGATAAAACTAAATTACATCCATGCACCTAGTTTGTTTGCGATATCACCTTAGGTGGAAGTGGACGTAATACTCCAGGAACGAACAAACGATGCATCTGGTCAGTTTATCAGATTCAGAGCGAAACATTCACTTAAATATAAATCAGTTCGTTTGCCGTCTTCATCTATGAAATGGTTTGGCCGATAAAAGTGCGACTGAATTAAAGAAATTTTAGGAACTGTATTTTAAAACGAATTTGGCCCAAACGTTTAAAACCGATTTTTCATTTTTGTGAAACGGATCTGGGTGTGTCCGATTGTTTCTTTAAAGCCTTTACATAGGGTGGGGAGGAAAAGTCGGGTTTTTATTTACGTTTTAAGTTATATCTCAAGTCCCTTAATATTACACAATTGTCGCTAACGCCAATAATC